CAGAGAGTAAATATTTACCCCTATTAAAATCGATGCCACTACACCCATGAGCACATCTTGCCACAATGGCCCTTATTGTAGGTAACAGTTCATAGCTGGGTAAGACTATTGATGAGGTTTTCCCCCTCAGAAGCCTGATTAGTACCTTGTTGTATTCTGAAAGTTAGGCAGCAGAGAAGAAACTTCAGCATCAGCAAAAACTTTCTTTTCTTCTTGTCCTATGAAAAAACTGAGTGGTATCTTCAATGTTAGGGTCTTACTATTAAGTTTGTGTGGACCACTTAAGCAATGGCAATAAGCTGTATTGTTTAGAGGATTTCAGGGCATGTCTGAAAAACAAGTCATAGAATGTCTTAGTGTCTTTTCTATTGCGATGACCAAAACAAACAAACAAAACAAAAGGCTATGATGAAGGCAACTTACAGAAGTGTTTTCAATAGCAGCTTACAGTTTCCGAGGATGAGTATGTGATCATCATAGCAGGCAACATGGCAAGAGGCAGGCTGGCCAAGCCCTGCAACAGTAGCTGAGTGCTCATATCTGATCCACAAGCAAGAGGTAGAGGAAGAGAGCTAACAGGGAAAGGCAAGGGTTTTTGAAACTACAAAGCCAATCCATCCCTGATGCCATACCTACCTCAACAAGGTGATACCTCCTAATTCTTTCCAAACAGTTCTACCAATTGGGGAACAAGTATTCAAATAAATGAGCCTGAGAGGACCATTTTCATTCAAACCACCAAAATGAAATATCCGACACCTGGCACTCAACATTTTAATTATAAACCAATAGTTTCTGAGAGGACCATTATATCAAGTGTATGGTCACTATAATTCAACTATTTAATGTGAATAATAAGTTTAATAAACTAATAAAATAAGAATATTATTCACAAGTGAAGATACAGTGTTGTAAAAATCTAAGTTTTCCCCTAATGTATGCCTATAATACAAGTCTCATCAAATCTTAATGAATATTTTTGGTAAATTTTAAGAAGTTATTCTAAAATTTATATACAAAACTAAACAGATAGGATTACTCAGGATTTTTTAAAAGATCAGTTAAAAGAAGGCATATATAAGAATTAATAATAATCTGAGCTCATAAAAGCTAACATAGTTAAGTGCTGGCCCAAAACTTGGAAGCTAAAAACAAGATTTAGAAATCATATTCCAAATATCAAAAGATTAATTCAGAATTTTAGTATTTGTAGATCAGTGAGATGCCTCTAATGGCACTTGACACTCAAGCCCTCTGACCAGAATTCAATTCCTGAAACCCATATAAAAGTAAAAGAAGAGCACTTCCACACAATTGTCTTCTGGTCTCCAGATGTGTTCTCTGGCATGTGTGGCCACCCCTCCTCCCCAACACTAATGAATTAAAAGGAATGATTTTGTATATAATAGAAACAAGTCATCTCTGGAAGCAAAGCAAGATCAATTGTGCAGTGGTCCTCAACCTTCCTAATGCTATGACCCTAATGTTGCAGTGACCTCCAATCATAAAATTACTTTTGTTGCTACATCATAACTGTAATTTTATACTGTTATGAAATATAAGGTAAATATTTGTTATACAGGATATCTGATATATGTCTCTATAGGGGTCTCAACCTGTACATTGAGAACCACTGGTTTAATGAGAGGTATTGGGCAACAAGTAAAACCTTTGAGAGTTTGTTCTACCTCATTGGTCAACCTGAAATAATGTGAAGTGAAGTTTTCACTGAAAACCATGAATATCCTGTCACTTTGAAGGCACATCCTTGAGCCTTTCTAATGAAATCTGATGGATAGGTGCAATGACTCAATTAGCTCTGAGGATTTGACTTTGAATTTGAATAGTAGTGAAGATTTAAGTAGTTAGCAATGTGAAGTGAGGGATGGAGAGAGGGAGAGGAAGGTGAGGATGGTTCATAGTAAGGAAGAAGAAGATGAAATTCACATTTTTATCACACATGTGTGTTTTCAAATACAAAGACAAAGATACTAAAGAGATTTAACAAAACATTATTGGAGAGCCATGGATTAAAATTATCTTGTGTTTTCAGTTGTCATTCTCTTCACTTTTCAGCAATAACATATTAATTTTCTAAAACAAAGCAAAAACTCATCCCAAATTTTATTGGATACAGAGTAGGTTGCAGTTGCTTCTAATCCTATTTTTACTCATGATTAACAAAATCATTCATCTGTGATGCGCAAATTTTTATCAGAAGAAAATAATATAGTAAGATACACTTCAGCTCTGTGATGAAATATTAGAAATGTTCTCAAAACAATGACTAAATAAACTTGAAAGTCTATTTGAAAGAAGAAGCTGAGCATAAGGCCTCATCACTGTGGAAATCTGGACCATCATGTATCACAGGTTATAAAAATTCCTCCATTCTTTCATCTCTAACACTAGAAGAAGGGTTTCTATGCAATGCATTTTGATCTTAGAGGTTAAATCCATTTGATCTTTAATTCCTTATCCTAGGATCATTATATGCCAGGTGTTGGCATAAGTAATTATTGAAGAGGAGGTAGGCATGTCCTGAGTAGAAATTTGGATCTTAAACCAGGGGCTATTCCTTATGTATCCTGGAAAAGATAGACCTCAGATAACAATAATTGTCAAAAGATAGGCGAGAGTGTGGAAAGGAATCTAGTTTATGAGATTTTCATAGCTATAATTGGTGTATAGTTTAGAAAATTCTTTTCCATGGCAATTTTCTGTAATTCTGATGTTTTTCCCCAGCAATGTAAATGAAAATCTGAGTAGTCACTGGGCATATCTTTATTAGTACACTTTCATAGTTGGGGAGTGATTTGGGCAGGTACAATACCTGTGCATCATCATGAGACTTGTACATTTCTTCAAATGAAAATTAATGGCAGTGTCTTGATATGCTTTGCACGTGTCTTTTCATTTCTTGTAAGGAAAATCCCATAAAGTCTAACTCCTCTCTCCCCATGTTTCTCCCTAAAGCATTATCAATGAAGATCTTCTTTCCCTAAGAGTTAAAGCCTTCAAACTGTAAACACATACATAGCCCAGACTGATGAGGTGTTTGTATGAGCTTCACCAAGTTGTTTAAACAAATTGTTTGAACAGTCATCTCAGAATGAGCTCCAAATTGACTTTCAGTGTTAACACTGTGAACAGAAATCCACTCAGAGTCTAATAATCTTGTGCTTTTTCTTTTTATGCTTATTATTAAATATTTTAGTAAAATTTTGTAAATTAGCATAATTAAGAGTTCAGTTGTTTGCACAGCCCATTTTCAGGCTTGAGTGAGGCTATTAATTTTAAAGCTCTGTATTCTGAGGCCATGGTTGAGCTCTACTCCTTTCTTAAAATGAGCTAATAAAAATATAATACCATATAGTATAATCTAGTATATGATAATGTAGGACACTGAAAAATAATTCATGGTGACTAGATGAAGGATTGCCTATGAAACTCACAGAACATGATATGTATATAATAAAGACTTCAGCATTTAATCAATGTTGTTTCTAAATAAGTTGTTATCATAATAATTGTAAAACTGGTATCTTGCTTTAGGATACAAAGGACAAAGCTAACCTGTGCTGTAGAGAATTTGAGAAATTGTATTAGTTATTTCTCTATTGCTTTGATACTGTACCCTAGTAGGAAACAACTTTGGAGAGTAAGGATTATTTGGGACTGGAGTTCTGGAGGGGAATAGAGTCCATAATGATGGGAAAGCCAGTCAGGGACCCAAGCAGTCAGGCAGGGGAGAAAATAAGAAGTAGGGCCAGGCTGTCAGACTTCAAAACCCACCTCCAGTGATGTTCTTCCTCCCTCAAGGATCAATGTCCTAAATGGACCAAAACCTTCCCAAACAGTGGCGCCATCTGGAGACCAAGTGAGTTTTGCTTTGGCATGTGTGTGGCAAAATAGATGAATTATTGTATCAGTTTAAGAAAAGATCAAAAATATATTTAGATTTCTGAGAAAATGTGATAAAGGTAGAAGTTTCATACAAAATATTGTCAGTTCATTATTTTTGTACATAATGCCTTGTACTACTAATTATAGGTTACAACCTTATAGAAGTCAAAGAAAGAAAAAGGTGGACACACTGGCAGAGGGGTGGAGTGCATTGCAGAGGCAATTAACATAGGGGCCCTAATGTCAGGTTTCAGGCCATGTTTGTCATCAATAGTGGCTTTGTAACTTTCTTTAGGGTATTTGAGACTGTGTGTGTGTGTGTGTGTATGTGTGTGTGTGTGTGTGTGTGTGTGTGTGTGTGTGTTTGTGTGTTTGAATGTATATGTATTAGTCAGACATATAATTAATACAACAAATATAATACTACATATTTTATTTTGTTGCTACTTCATAATTGTAATTTTGCTGCTGTTATAAATTGCAATGTGAATATCTGATGTGGAGGATATGTGTTATATGACTCTTAAAGGGTTCTCAAACTTCAAGTTGAGAACCACTGAACTAGCATGAAGTGCTTGCACCAGGGAACTCCCTTACCTGGGCTGGGGGCACTATTAATATATACTATAATATTCTTTGTGGAATAAATAATCACATAGAATTCACTTAGATGTGTTCTTACAGGTCCTGAAGACTTTGTGTTAATGCCTCATGATGTCTATTGGCTACACTGGTCTCTAGATAATGAGGCATCTGGGCTGCTATTGGTTTTGTACCTGTTAGAATACTTGGTGATTTAACTATGAAGCCTCTATTTTTAACTATCAATGATGGATACCATAGTGTTCCCCTGGTATTCTCACTCCCTTCTCTTAAGGAGAGAAAGTAGAACAAGAAGACACAAAAGAAAATGTCCTTTACTTCTAAGAATGGTCTGGGTGCATCTAGGTGGTGTGGAGTTATAGAATGGTAGATGAGAAGACTCATCCAGTACAGTCCTCCAGCTTTGTCTTTTGAGTAGCTTGTCCTAACTGTGCAGGAGTTTGTCCCACACTGCTGGTGTCTTCTCACATGATATTTTCTTGTCATTTCAGATACCTCAGATTAGTTATGCATCCACGGCTCCCGAGCTCAGTGATGATCGGCGCTATGACTTCTTCTCTCGAGTGGTCCCTCCTGACTCCTTTCAAGCTCAGGCCATGGTAGACATTGTAAAGGCCTTGGGTTGGAATTATGTGTCTACTCTTGCATCTGAAGGAAGCTATGGAGAGAAAGGTGTGGAGTCCTTCACACAGATTTCCAAAGAGGCAGGTAGGAAGTGAATGCATTGCCAAACTTACCCTCTTCAAACATCTGTGACTTGCAATTTTCCTGAGGTATTACTAAAGAAACAGTACACATAATTACCCCATGCCCTTGATCTTCCATTCCCTGAGTTCTCTGACTGCATCTTTGAGGTCTTTATCTACAGCATGTTGAACTTTTGGAGAGATTTTTCAAATATGTGAAACTATAGCCCCTTGATACCAACAGATGATATCAACAGAACAAATACTACAATGGGAACCTAACTTCTGCCTAAGAGATGTGGAGGAGAACGCCAATAAGTTTATAGACAGTGAGAAAATATGGCTTCCAGTATCCATCTATGTGTGATATTCCCTCTTGGCCTCTTTCCTAAGTGGGAAAAACTGTTTAGAATTTTATGAACACCATTCCAGGGCCATTGTGATTTTGTAAAAGTATCTGATGCCTGTGAATGACTTGAACAAAACAAGAAAAACTGACCAGGATGTTGAATGTATTTAGGCAAGTGAAGCTTAAACTTGAGATTGTTTTCAAAGAGTCAAATCTATTTAGCACCAGTTACTCAGAATAATTTTATTTAAATTTGTTTGTCTAGCACAAATTAGAAGCAAAGGGCTTTTGTGGTTGGCCAGCTGTCTTATATTTTTTGTATATAATGAACTTTGGGATTCCTTTATGGTTCTTTTTATTATTCCCACACACACACCTTTGATGGGTTCTCTTGTAACCCCGGCTATCCTTGAACTCACTCTTTAGCTAAGGCTGAACTTCTGATATCCCTATGTCTGCCTTCTAAGTGCTAGAATTCTAGTTACCATCACCCTGCCTATGAAGGTCCTATGAACATAGTAAGATAAAACAGTTTTATTTACAAGAATTTTATTCAATCAAAATGGTAACTGACTGGTCTAGCCATCTGACGGTGAATGGGGAGAAGGACTGTTTCATGAGGAAAGGTGTCATTCATCTTGATGGCAGGGACGTGGACAACATCCTTCACTATAGACCTACTCAGTGGATGAAGCTGATAACCCTGCACATGAGTGTGGACAGAAGCTTCTCTGAGAATCTCTAAGCATGACCACTTGATGTAATTTTTTGTGTCACTGGCCATCTGGGTCCATCTTACTTTCTGCCTTGTGACTGAGGTACTTCTGTTTCTAAGTTTCTCTAGCTGACTCTTATAAATCATGGACAACAGTCATCTGAAATATCATGTCTAGGTTCAAGCAGATATGCAAACCTCTCCCTGTTGTCTTGGCTTCACCTGGTGTTTCTAGGTGGTCATCCTACAGCTTTAATCATATCCCTAAGACTCTTACTGGAGAACATGTGTCACTCATTCACTGCTGTAACTCTAGCTGCTGTGGTCCTAAGGGGAAAATGTCTACCGTAATTCAGTTAGAAACCTTCCGATCTGGTAGAAAATTTTAACTCTGTCTTTATGGCAGGCTGTGATATGTAGAATTCGTTAGCAGTAGATTGCATAAGTCCTTGAAGAGATACTTAATCATTGTAATGACTATTTTTATCCCTTTCTCTGTCTCTTCCAATCTTGCTTTGATAAAAATAAGGTTGACATAGAGAAATGTCTAAATCTGGGTGGAAATAAGTAAGTTAGGCAAGGTCAAGAGAAATTGCATGTAAAATAATAGCTCATAAATAAAGCCCAGCCACCATCTGAAATAGTAACTTGCTAAAAAGATGGTCCCAATATAAACATTGAACTTTTCATCGGATAAAGTAAAGAAAATGCTCATCATTCTGCCACACAGTCTCAGTGTTTGTATGGTCACTAACACATTGAATATTCAGTTCAAAAAAAAAAAAACCTGCTTTTCTTGCATTGGGATCAAGATAAATGCTTACTCTACGACATTAGAAGAGACTGTGTTCTATAGACATGTCTCAGGGAGACAATTATATGGTTGCTATTCCTGATGTCATTGGTTGGAAGCATAAATAAGATATATATTAGAGTTTCTTATATAATGCAAATAGGAATGACTTTTAATATGGTATACATGTTCCAGACTATGCATTTAGCTAACAATAGCTTGAGATGCTCAGCTCCAAAGCAAGACTGTGACAGGGACAGTGATTTCAACTAAAATATTTCAACCTGAGAACATGTTCCTGGGGGCCAGGAGTCAAAAAGTAGCCATCTGCTGCTGCAGACACAGAGGAAAACATGGGTGATTTGGGTGACATGTCATGATTAGTTCTACAAATTGTGTTTAGAGCATGAGTATAAGCCACCTGTGCTGTGGCACAGGTGTAATTAGTAACAGTAAGTTCAATATGTGCTTCATAGATACCCTTCTTCTCTGATAAACAAGGAGAGGAAAAGACGAGTCTGAAGGAGAATTTACAGTTTAAATGGTATGGAAAAGTTCATCCACTCCGACTTATAGGAAAGGTGAGGTTAAAAGACCGTTTAATTGCTATAGGGATACTTTAATTCTCTCTGTGTATATACATTCGCTTTGTATGGTTGAAAGCATGTATGTGTATTTGCATATGCAGGCACACATGTGGGGTTGTAGCTCTGTCTCTCTGTTTCACTCTGTGGCATGCGAGCTAGTGCATGCAAGCACATGCATGCATGCACACACTCAAACCTCAGCCACCTTTCTTGGTCACTCTGCACTTTATTTATCAAAAAAAGAAGTATCTCTTGGTGAACCTAGGTGAACCTAACTGAGAGTCTAGTTAGTCAGCTAGCCTTGAAGTTTTTCTTCTCTGTCTTACATTACATTCAGCTGCCACTGCTTCCCAGTTTCTACATGAATCTGGGACGTTCATATTCCTCACACTCCAATGCTTTATCCATTGATTCATGCTCCCAGTCTCTTCATTTCTGTGGACTTCTGAGGATGTGTCTTCCTGTTCACAATGTGATTTCGGTATTTAGGGACACACAGTTATGCATTATAGCTTCTAAATCAGCCGCCTTTTCTGAAATCCAATCAAAGAAACAGTGATACATTCTAGCATTGAATATGTTAATCATATTTGGAATTCTGGGAAGTTCACTTATTGGAGAATTGGGGGAACAGTGTAACATCAAATAGCCACATCATTTTTCATCTACTGACTCGAGAACATGATCTGTAAAAAGGACCCAAGACATATGTACACAAGTGAATTGTTATGTCACAGAAATAAGCAATCCCCTTAGATGGTGTCAGAAAGTCCTGGATTTGAGTGATGGACTCTCTTACTTCAGCATGGTCAACACCAGATACGTGATTTACCACTTCAGTCCTCAGCATGTACATGGAGAGAATGAGATTTATGAAGGTTGCTTCATTGTGGTGATTTAATAAATGAGATGCTGTTTCTGAGAGCAGTTAATACCCGGAAAGACCTGGTTATTAGTACACCACTCTAAGTCTCTATAAATATTTATTCAAATTATGTTCGTAGTAGAGTTACTTTTCTTAATAGGTTTTTAGCTTATAAGGAAGAGGAAAAGAAATGAGCTAGAATCTCTCTCTCTCTCTCTCTCTCTCTCTCTCTCTCTCTCACACACACACACACACACACACACACACACACACAAATGGATAAGATATATTTAGATGTACAGGCTTCAGTCTGGAAGAATTCATTTTAGAATGTTAAGATATCCTTAAGCCTAAGGCAGAGGCTAGGAGGGAAGCATGTTTCCAGTGCTCATAGTGGCAAAACAGGGTTGAGATCTTTAGCATCATTGCCTGGTAAATGAAGATACTTTCATTGGATGGAAAAAACCACACTTAAACAGGGTCCTTTAAACTATTTATTTATATGTGTATGGGGAGTTTGCCAGCAGACAGTGCTCACCAACTGGGACCTTTCACATGGGAGGACAGGCATCTTTTTTTCTAAATTGTTAAAGTAAATGCCAGCAAACTTTCTCTTGAGATTGGTTCTGGGAGACTTACATAAGTGTAGATGGTCCATCATGTTGAGACTTACAAAAAACTAACATGATTTTCTCTGATGATGACATTCTGGTAAAATGGTCACATTTGCATAAATGGCCCTGTGATGCTTACTCATGTAATGTCAACAAAAGCTGTTTTTTGCCTAATATTGCAAGGAACAAGATAAAATTCACTCCCATTATAAAAACAAAAACACAAAAAATCTGGACCAATGTGATAACCTAAATGGCCTAAATTTCAGCTAAAGACTGTGTTTCCTAAGTGTAAGCTAAGGCTAATGTTTATGATTGCATGAAGCACTAGTCAGTACCAGATCATTTGGAGCACATTTAATTTGAGGATTGTAAAATAATTGATGACATCAAACACTGATAGCCGTGTAGACAGTTACTAGGAGAATTCAAAGATAACTTCTTCATATTATCATTATCATATAACACACCAGCATTAACATGTTAATGACAGTGTTAAAACACTAGTCAACTTTTTAAAACCTAAAAAACTGCTTGGACTACTCTTTTGGTATTTTATAGTATTTACTGGAAATTGCTTTATTTGATACCACAAGTTAGTTATTTCCAACAGAGGTTAGAAAATTTTATGTGGAAAAGAGAAGTTTCATGTGGCCTGAGCACTAAAGAAAGAACTATAGGCAACTGATGACTGCTGAAAGAGGGGAAATTAGCTTTCCAAGGAAGGTGCCTCCTAACTGTAATTCAGAACAAAGTGTTCAGCTCTGAAATCCAAGTTACATATAAGTAACACTAAGCAGGCTCAGCTGGTTATGTTCATATCTTTATACATCCTATATGTATGCATGAACCATAATTATCATTGAAAAAAAGAGCAATGAAGTTGAGAGGGAGGGAGCAGAAAACGTGGGATGTAAGTACTGTAAGACTGAATAGCAGCTAAATGCAATCCCTGGCTCTATATTCATGACCCCAAGAAGAACATTACAGAGAACATTCAGAAGGTAAAGTGATAAATTTAAAGAAGATTGAGAATTTATTTAAATAATGATACTTTGATTTTACTCTTTCATTTTTGTTGAACTGTACTTAAATCCCT